GCGTCTTGAGGATTGACCATAACTCGGAGAACAGCCCAGGAATTCCCCGACAGGGTATAGCCTTACAGGCTTTCCAGCACCACCGTGACGGTGATTATGGCTTTCCGTACGATTTTGCGTCGGGGGTTAATTGGACGACCCATCCACACGGGCACTCAAACGGACTGGGCTTAAAGAAACTGCAACTTCAAACTCACCGCATCACTTTCTTACACAGGTGAGTTCGACTTGGAAAATTGAACTCAGTCTGTCACTGAACTGCTGCTGCACTTTTGAGTTTAGTCTGCAAACCAGACTTGAAAACATGATGCAGCTGCAGTTGTTCCATGGTGTATTGTCACGATAGAGGCCAGGCCATCCCAGAATGGCAGAATCATCTGGCGGTAGCACATTCTACGACAGGTGCTCCGAATCCTCCTGGTGCTCCAAATGCTCCTGAGTACCTTCTTCACCCGAATAGAACGCCCGGAAAAGTGAACGGCAGTGATTCCTTTGCTATCTGACTCCTTGCAGACGTCCCGTGGCTAAGATCAAGTGTCCGATCTAGGGATTCTACGAGAATAGCAATACTTTTCTCGACCTTTTGACTAAGATCAATGTAGCCGCAGCGTCTGTTCAGATGAGATAAAGAAGAAAAAAAAAGAAAAGCAAAGAAAGCGAGCAGCAGCACTTCGGACGGCTCCCTGAGTCTTTGCAGACCTCCTATGGGGAACGAGAGGTGTCCTATATGCCGGAGAGTCGGAGACCTTATCTGCATCCTGTTATCCTGTTCAGACCAGAGTAGCTGGAAACCATTGGAACCTTGTGGGGAGTACTTCTGTAGGCCAGGGAACCATCTTGCTCCATTTGTCCATAACAATGATAACAGGCTTCTGTGTGTCAGAGCTTGTACGTGAGACAAATGGATGCTGGGGAAGCGACCCACCACCAAAGGATTTAGTTCTTTTGGGTGGCAAAACAGTCGGAGGGGCCCCTGAGTACTTCGTGGTTGCAATTCGAAGATTATCTGGTGGCACCGCCGTTTTGAACATCCCACTAGGCTCTCAGCCAGAGGAACGACAATGATATCGTGTATGTAGAAAATAATGGTGATGGATACCTGTCTGCCAGAAAATGATGTTACAATGCAAATGTGGAATCGGAGTGTTGTGGGCCCTTCAGCTTGGAAACGATCTCTCATGCTCTTACCAAATCAGATCAGTCGATGATAAAAAGAATAACTGTACTGTCACTACTGTGCTTGAGGTTGGGGCCGAACTGTGGACCCAGTGTATGGCTGCAGGTCGGCACTGTGACTTCCAAAGGTCAGGACTGCTCGGCATGTTGGAGAAATGAGTTGGGCCAAGTACTGGTGATTGAAGGCTTTGTGGTTTAGGGTTTAAGGGGTTGAAGGGTTAAACCACCGGTACTTCCTAGAGTCGTGCCCGTTAACTCCCCACGATTTTAGGAAACGTACGGGCTACTACAGGAGCGCCGCCCAAATTCATTCGAGCCCTAAACCCTAGACCCTAATAGGGTTTAGGGTTTGAGAGCTGGCATGGTACAGACGAAAGGCTAAACCATCAGACTCAATCAGAGGCACCTATTAGGGTCTAGGGTTTAGGGCTAATGGGTTTGCAGTGTGATCACACACCCTCTGCAGCCTGCAGTGTTTCTGTAGTGCCCACCTCTACTATACTAAAGAAATTCTCACATTGTCGTGGAAGTAATCTTCCTCTAAGCTATTGATCAACATGTGCCCCAAATCCTCCTGGGTACAGGTGCTCCAAATTCTTTTGGCTACAGGTGTCCCCAAATCCTCCTGTTCAACTGATTGATCAATTGATTGATTGAGTGAGTGAGTGAGTGATCCGTTGGTTTGGGTAGGGTCACGTATCAATCAATCAAATCAGTCAATCAATCAGTCAATCAATCAGTCAATCAATCAATCAATCAGTCAGTCAATCGATCAATCATCAATCATTTTTTTTTCATGCGCTTTTTTCGTTTGTTTGTTTTTGTTGTTTTCTATTAGTCAATCAATCAATCAATCAACCAATCAATCAAGCACAAATCGACACTCAATCAATTTCGCCATCCATCCATCAATCAATCAATCAAGTTATCTTTAATCTTTTTTTTTCCCTACCCCAACACCCCCCAAGACAAAATCTTTCTTTATTTATTTTTTTTCGTCGGAGGGGATTGCCCCCGACACCCGCACCCCCCGGTCCTTGAATGTCATCAGAGACCCCTCCCAAAGCCCCAACGTACAGGGGGCGAGGGGGCCCTACGTACACACGTACACGAGTACGGACGGCCCATCCCCGTACGACGGGCCTACACTGCTCCACACACTGTCTGAATCTGATGTCTGAGTCTTCCCTCCGATCTACGATTCAGGTCTCGACTAAACACTGAGTCTTCCCTCCGATCTACTCTTCGGGCCAGCACTAAACATGAGCATCAATCTCTGTGTCAAACTCCACACATGAACATCCGTCTCTGTTTAAATCTTTTTGTCCAAACATGTATTATCATTCTGGTGTATCGGAATATGCAGTGAAAACTCAAAACTTTAAGGTAAGTCCCTTTGTGTCACAAAAGAAGTTCGAAGGGGGGGGAAAAAAACACGAACCGTCAAAAGCAACGTCCTCCAAATACGAAAGGGCG